CATTGAGGGCATTTACGAAACAACGGTGGCGGCATTCATTCGTGAGTGGCATGCGAAAATAAGGTCAACGACTGAGTATCCAACTGAGAAAGGGGAGTGTGGTTTGACGCCCCGAAGCAACTTGATGGAACATCCTGCGGTGTGCTATTCATCGCACACACCTACTCCGTTTTGAAAGACACTTTTCAATTGCCGAGGGTCATTATTACCTATGACGATGTTGCTGCCATGTGTCTGCAAATTCTGTAGATGATCCTCATGCAGCCAGAGGTAGCAATCACGGCTAGAAAGCTGTATTAATTAGTAGAAGCAAGGGATGTAGAAGTACTAATACTATTACGAAGTTAATATTAAACTTAATGTGTGCTTAAGCATCTTGCTGTCTTAGAAGATACTTCGGTATTAGCGCTTGCCAAACACATTGGTGCAGCGCTCTAAAACAGGGATTGGTACGGTATCACAGCCATCGAGATGAGTTGGTTTGCTGAAAGGTATTGTTCTTCCTTTTACCCCTCAGTAAGCAAATGTGCAACTCATTTCGGCTTCTTTTACAATTACTTAACACCTTATAGCCTTAATCGAGACATTTCTTGAGGCGTACTCCAGATTATGAGACGGAGAGGTTAAGGCTGGTGCGGAGAAGCAAAGGCTCGGCATGAGCCTACCGCAAACGCCGTCGGGTTACTATTAACGGGAGGTCCAGCTAAGAAGGGCGAGAAAATTAGGGATTTGGTCGGTCGGGAATCTTTGGAAATTGCAGATGGCGCAGCCATTTACTATTCCATTTCACGACGTCATACCGCTGATAAGCTCTTGATCTAAGAACTTTCTGGCCAATGATCATGCGTCAAATGTGACTACTTAAAATTTGAAAGATAACATTAACGTACCAGAACGGAAGTCATGGAGAGAGTGGGATTTGTGACTGTCACTGGGGCTTCATCTTCGCGAGCTAGTCGTACAGCCCGGACGTGCCAACTTTGACTCCGTACTTCTGTTGTGTTGGACTGCATATAGCGACACCATTGAGGGCATTTACGAAACAACGGTGGCGGCATTCATTCGTGAGTGGCATGCGAAAATAAGGTCAACGACTGAGTATCCAACTGAGAAAGGGGAGTGTGGTTTGACGCCCCGAAGCAACTTGATGGAACATCCTGCGGTGTGCTATTCATCGCACACACCTACTCCGTTTGAAAGACACTTTTCAATTGCCGAGGGTCATTATTACCTATGACGATGTTGCTGCCATGTGTCTGCAAATTCTGTAGATGATCCTCATGCAGCCAGAGGTAGCAATCACGGCTAGAAAGCTGTATTAATTAGTAGAAGCAAGGGATGTAGAAGTACTAATACTATTACGAAGTTAATATTAAACTAAATGTGTGCTTAAGCATCTTGCTGTCTTAGAAGATACTTCGGTATTAGCGCTTGCCAAACACATTGGTGCAGCGCTCTAAAACAGGGATTGGTACGGTATCACAGCCATCGAGATGAGTTGGTTTGCTGAAAGGTATTGTTCTTCCTTTTACCCCTCAGTAAGCAAATGTGCAACTCATTTCGGCTTCTTTTACAATTACTTAACACCTTATAGCCTTAATCGAGACATTTCTTGAGGCGTACTCCAGATTATGAGACGGAGAGGTTAAGGCTGGTGCGGAGAAGCAAAGGCTCGGCATGAGCCTACCGCAAACGCCGTCGGGTTACTATTAACGGGAGGCTAAGAAGGGCGAGAAAATTAGGGATTTGGTCGGTCGGGAATCTTTGGAAATTGCAGATGGCGCAGCCATTTACTATTCCATTTCACGACGTCATACCGCTGATAAGCTCTTGATCTAAGAACTTTCTGGCCAATGATCATGCGTCAAATGTGACTACTTAAAATTTGAAAGATAACATTAACGTACCAGAACGGAAGTCATGGAGAGAGTGGGATTTGTGACTGTCACTGGGGCTTCATCTTCGCGAGCTAGTCGTACAGCCCGGACGTGCCAACTTTGACTCCGTACTTCTGTTGTGTTGGACTGCATATAACGACACCATTGAGGGCATTTACGAAACAACGGTGGCGGCATTCATTCGTGAGTGGCATGCGAAAATAAGGTCAGCGACTGAGTATCCAACTGAGAAAGGGGAGTGTGGTTTGACGCCCCGAAGCAACTTGATGGAACATCCTGCGGTGTGCTATTCATCGCACACCTAATGATGGATGGCTTGTCAACGTAAGAAGAACTCTTGTGGGTGCCTCAAGTTTGGGGTATGCCACATTGTAGTGGTTGGGTCTGTGCTGTGAACAGGTGACAGTGACGGACAAGGAGACAAGTTGATGTGCCGCAGAGCAAGGAAAAAGCAGCGAGCCACTCGTACCATCACTTTCGAAACTGTATCGGGTCTTTCGGATGCACCAGAAGCGCCGTATGTTCTACCAGCTACAGCTTGTGTGCATCAAATAACACGATCCATGCTGGACAATTCATCCAGTCAGCGCACACGCCCTAGGGTGGTGGCTACTTCGACTTTTCTCGCTGGGTATGACCCCATTACCTCCCAGCCACCGCCTCGGGCTTCAGCATCAAAGCATCACGCCTAACCCAAGTGCGCCATTGCTAATGAAAGGATGTAATTCACTTGCACCAAGTTATTCAAGTGATATAGGCGGCTACAACGTGCCCAGTACCCAGCTGTTTAATCCTCTGCAAGGTCTGTACCCTGAATCTACTTGTTTTTAGATACCGAATGCAACATGCATGTTGCAACCGCACCACTACACCTATTTGAATGGCGGACTTGAGGTTGCGCAAAGTCATCAGTCATCAGGATACCCAGCTATCAGGCGTGCAGTGGCCGGCTCGAGATAATTACGAGAAGAACACGCCACTTAAAATATCTGACGATGCTCCTGGTGTATGATTTGGGATACTGACAAGGAGACAAGGTAGGCCACCTCTTACAACGCGTGCTCTCAAAATGGACGCACTACTCAATTAAATGCATATTTCATCTGTCCGAGTAGGGTTTAAGCTCTTTAGTAAGCTGATGGATTCCTTGAGATGGAGCAAAGCCTAAAAGAGGCTCTCTATTATCGTTGATATATCTTAAGTGGTTCCGGAACTACTACAGGTTTCTACCTCAACCAATCGAGCTACCTCGTATTCTCGATCGCGATTGGTTAATGGCTTCTTCAGCGGACCGGTCTGCATAACTTTGCTATTCATACTAAATTTTTAATTAATTATTAGCTGACTCACGCTTCATATCGCTGGAAGAGCGTGCTTGGTTCTGAGTTTTCATTCCCCCCAATTTATAATCCATACTAAAAAAGATGGCCGAAAAACACAAGTGCTCCCAGACCCCCATAGCGGAACGAGTAAGAATCTAATTAATCTGGCAGAAAAATCACAGTGAGTTGGGACCCAACCGGGTGGAAAGGGAGCTGAAGGGCACTCTACTGGGTGGCGGAAGGCGCCTCTCCAGATGTACTTGATATACCTTGTGATGACACCGACCTCCAGGGGGGCAAACGACATATCAGCTAGACCCAGCGAGCTGGACGAGGGCGAGGCAAAAGAGGTCGGTGTATACAGTAGTCAGAAAGATAATCAGGTTACCTTTGATGCTAACTTTAGCCAAATACTGGTTAGCCAAAACTTCTGCTTATGGCGCAATTTCGGCGTCTTTGGATGGCAGAATTTCAAAATCGATCCGACGGCGGTAATTGAGGCTCATGCATTGTCCAATCTATCGGAAGGTAAAGCCGCTATCGGAGTCGAAGAGCTTCATGACATTCTGCCACAGCACACACTCCGGGTCTGCCGTCAGAAGGATTCGTCCCAACTTTAGTATAAAACCCTGGGTCTCCTGGAGGACATCGCTATAAAGGTAAAAGGGCTCGGATTTGTATCCACACATACAATTGGGGTTATGCAGTCATGGCACGACACATTGACTGTACTATAGAAGGTGAGACCAACCGTTGGATGGGCTCACTCTCGGTTTGCATGACAAAAAATCACAAGCTGCGTCCGAGCAGATAGCGCGACTCGAGCGCTTTCCTATCCGCTCTAAAAACGTATATTTTCACTTATCGAAACTAGCGCTAATGATTTTACTTACCCAAAGTTGTATTTGGAGGGTCCTGCGTTTTGATATTGTTGGTAGTGGGCGTCTTGGTGGCGTCCAGGGGTCGGAAAAGGCTATTATAATATAATAATTGCGCAATTGTATTGACGGAATTACGGATTATTGGTAAAAAGATTTTTCCGTACAATATACAATTGACCCCGTAATAACTTTATTGAGTTTTTTACTATACGTAAAAACACAAATAGAAAATCATTGGCGGATCAGCGCTCGCTTCGAACGACTGGTTGGTTTGATCTAGACGAAGCTGTTTAAAAACGCTGTGCTGTCATTCATTTTCTCTTTGTTCCAACTGCCATGTCGACTTCACGCACCATCACCAACTTCTTCTTCACGGACTGTGGCAACGGCCAGTTTTCCTGCAAGCAGTGCGGAAACGCTCGAAAGCAGTCGCCAGGGACGGGCTACACCAACCTAATTAGTCATCTGGCAGCGAACCACCCAGGGTTCAGGGAGACGTACGAGGAGAGCCAGCGGTCGTTTGGCCAGTCGCTCGAAGCACACGGGTTTGTCGATCAGCGGACGATGGAGATTGTCAAGTGGATGGAGTGGGTTATTGCCAGGAACATGCCGCTGAGTGAGGTGGATGACCCGATGACGCGTGCGTTAGCTGCCATCAAGCCGGTCTCGTCGAAGACCTTGGTAAAGCACATGCGTCACGTTGCAAGCAAGGTGGGGTCACGCATTTCGACGGATATAGGAAACCAGTTCGGCCTCATGTTTGACGGGTGGACTTCAGGTATTTACCACTTCATCGCCGCTCATTGACCGTTGACGTGCTGCGAGCTAGTATAGACCGCACGCACCATTAAAAGCGGCTGCGGTCGAAGAGTAAAGCTCGTTTTGTTTTCAAAAGTGAATGTTGGTTTGCACACCAGGGCAATGATTAATAGGGACAGTTGGGGGTGTTCATATTTCAGCGTCAGAGGTGAAATTCTTGGATCGCTGAAAGATGAGCTTAGGCGATCAGCATGATCTCTGACTGAGCCTATTCAGCGTCATCAAGCTATGACAAAAAGAGCACCCGACAGCCACTCATTAACCAAGAGTAGTTTTAAGTTTCTGGGCAGCCCGTTGCTCTTGAATAAATAACTTCTGTTCTTGCCACGTGTCTTCTTGTGCTTTTTCATATCACATGCAGCCAGAGTACCAATTTTGGCGAGCAGCAAGTCGCAGGTAGCTGCCTGTCCTCTTTTTTGGCGCTTGCGGTTGTGCGTTTTTGATTGTCGCTCGGCACCTTCTTGTGTAGAGACGTCTTCATCGTCGGAGTACACGTTTGTCGAGCAGAACTCTCTCCCTGCTTGGTGTGCTACCACCATCTGTCCAGATAGTATACGTCTGCACGTCCATCGCAAAAGTCCCAGAAATCAGTGCTACCTTGTCCAGACACCTTAGACCCAGCTTCAGCCCGAGCAAAATGGCTACTAATCTCCTTCCACATTCGCTTCAGCTTTGCTGCTGAATGTGCCATGTGAGAAGACGTATCGACGCCTTCGAAGACAGGGTCGTCTGAGATCAATGTGTCATATTCAGTAGTATCTGCGGCAAACGCATTCGCAATATCTACCCAAAATATCGAACCACCTTCGTCGAGCACCTCGCGTGCAAGCAAGTTCCGTGTTGTGAGAAACAGCTCAAAAAATCTGTCCAAAAACAGCACGTTCACAAGACGAAACATACAGCCGATACTACGACGTTCATCCCCATCATTGGTCCGATTTGATCTCTTGCGCTGACGGGTAACGAGCGCTTGAACAGCCTCTCTGTTTGCGTCCCACGCGTTGAGCAGCTCCACGCGATCTTGCCTGCGTGTGGTCTTTAGGACGTTGAGCTTCCTTGCCGTGTATTCTAGCTTATGCTGGTCGAGTGTTCAGGCTTCATAATTGTCAGACGTCGGCGGGTGGATTGTACGCTTGCGTTGGTCGAGTGGGGCGACTACAGTCCACTTCGAGCTCGGCGCGGAGGTGGCCATGCTCTTTGGCTGGCAAAGGCAAATTTTGAAATGGTACCACATACTTGGTAATTTTCTTTACAGGATCGCAATTTTGTTTTTTTTTTCGCCAAGAAGAACGGGATATCAACCTTCACTGGAAAACCTATCCGCTTGCGATCCCTTGGGTTGCAACCTGCGTTAAGAAGGGCCCTTAAGAAATATGGGATATCAACTTTCACTGGAAAACCTATCCGCTTGCGATCCCTTGGGTCGCAAGGTGCGTTAAGAACGGCCCTTAAAAAACAGCTAAAAAACGGAGTATACTTGATATTGCTCAAATGACACGAAGTTTTGATGACAGCAAGTGTACTTATGTAGCCTCCGACTACGAAGTGGCCGCGGAAAAACTTGTAATTAATTTATGTCAACAAGCAACCAGCAGCCTTGAAATTGTATCATTATTCGACAAACCAAAATATGTATGCACCAAAAATTGTAGCTAGTCTGGACTAAATTTTAGTCTGGCACACTGGTCCACGAACAAGTTTGTTGTGAGGCCTCCCTCAACGAAAACACAAAAAGACAGTAAGTTTTATCGTGCTATATCTGAAAATGATCATCATCTAACGTGCTTTTAAAGAGTGCGATACTCCATTATTGCATTCTCACAAGTATTCCTGACATGGAGTCGAAATTAGTGGAAGTCTACGTACATGCATGTGTACATGTAATTGCTCCTACATGTAGGTGAAGAAGCGTTGAACGACCTGATGATTCATAGTTTAACATCTGCTTGTTTATCCATGAGTCCAGGAGATACTTACATACTGAAATCTATATAGACAGTTTCCGTATGATATGCGTGTGTGCCTCCACGCTAGACCTGGAAACGCACAGCAAAATACGTTTGCATTCTAAACCGGCATGCTTCCTCACCTCTTTCATATACGTGGATAATGGGTATTATACAGCCTTTCTAACTCTAGCAATGGCCTGTTTACTGAAGACGACCTAAGTAACATGATATGCTGCCAGGGGGCCGCAAATGGTTATGGACAATATATGGGGAGGGGTCGAGTAAAAAACTTTAGGCGCCATCAATAAAAGCACGTGCAATTAGAGGCTCGTAAAAAATTGGCCTTTGCCAAAACAAAAAATAGCTTAGCCAAACAATAACTTGCTGGCTTCGTCAAAAGCATGCATGTTTCAGAGTCCTACGCAAACCAATGCACGTCGTACCCTTCATTTCCACTTCCGACGCAGCAGTGGAAAATGGCACGTATACCGTGGTCGTTGCTTGTAGAGCATAGAAGCGCCGCAGGAATTTATTCGCGTTATATAGTATTTAACCTCTGCTGTAATCGGGACCTGATATTTTCCTGTACAAGCCTCATCGTCACGATTGTGAATCTTGATAGTGCAGTATACATGAACTGCGCCGGTAGCAGAGCACGCCCGGGTTTTCCACGCCGTAGAGCACAGCTCACCCCGCCGATCCTGTTCCTTGGTCGCGCAGGAATGCATAGTAGACTGTAAGCGGATCTTGACCATTGCATGATCTGCTGGGCAAATGACGCAATTCATCTCCCACTTTGCATATGCCACAGGGCAGAAAGTCTGCTGCACGGTGCTTGACGAAGCTGACGGTATCCAGCCTCGTATGGTTTGGAATAGTCTTCGTCGAGCTCATGAGGAGTCTAACCCTCCTCTAGGGCCTTTCTTCACGCCAGCAAGTTACGGGTTGTTCTAAACGTCTTCAGAAGAAGCATTTGTCACGAAGCGCTAGAAAAACAGTGAAGCTGATGTGTGGGGGATTTCCATATGTCGATGGTATCATTGCAGACCAGGCTTTTGTATTCGGGTTTTTAGATGAGGAAGACAGATTGGCTCGAGTTGAAAAGGGGTCTGAAGCTGATCCTTTTGTTCTGGGTAAAACAACGTTTGGACTGCTAGCTCAAGCCTACGAATTCCGCGGATAGCAGCACTTTCAATTATTCTATACGGATGCTACTTTCAAGCGCAGTGATCTCGGTTATCCCGTTGTAGCTTGCGGATGTCTGTAGAGCTTACAATCTTATCGCGATACTGGTGGTGCGCGCTAGAACCCAAATGGAGTACGACTTGTTCGTAGCGTGACCGATCTGTACAAGCACATATACGACGAGTGCCTTCGTGTTGGTGCTGCCTTGGGAGATGCCGAGGACGTACAATTTAATGCCCTGATAGCTCTTCCTTAATTCTCTGACAACACGTACCTGATGTGTTTCTTTCACGTACTCTAAAATGTACACAAGTGCACGAAGCATATGGCCATAGGACCTGGCGTTAAGAAATCCTCACGGAAATAATGATGTGCATTTCTCGAACAGCTACACTGAGTATTGTAGCGTGCGTGCCCGCGTGCTCTCTGGATGGCGACCCGAGCTAGCTTTGAAGCCCTTTGTGATTTATTTTGGGAAGGAGTGGATCAAAGCCGCTTTTGGCGCTGGTAAAGGTATCGCTCCCCCTCCAGCTACGCTACGACTAACAACCCTTGTCAAGTGCTCAACGCGAGTGTAAAGCGGTTTGTTCAGCGCAAGACCTTGGAGATCTGCGCTCTTATCCGAAGTATGATCATCCTAGTGGAAGATGAAGGCTGTGACTTGTGGCCACCCACTGCTCTTACTGCACCTTCAAATATTGAGATCGAGAAAACAGCGAAGTGGATGCTAGAATCGCGAGCTGTAACAGTATTTAGCACCCACGTGGAGACCGAAGTCCGAGTTTACACATTCTAGACGTTTATGGGGATGCTGATACTTTTAAAGCAATGCGACGATTAGCCAATTCTGTAACTGTAGATGAGGGACAACAATCATCGAACACGTTGCTGGTTCTCGAGATGGGGAGAAAGACAAAGCTTCTCGTTTATACCGTGACAGTGTGAAGTGGTCAACACGATGGGCGCATCGCGAGGGAGTACCTAATGATGGATGGCTTGTCAACGTAAGAAGAACTCTTGTGGGTGCCTCAAGTTTGGGGTATGCCACATTGTAGTGGTTGGGTCTGTGCTGTGAACAGGTGACAGTGACGGACAAGGAGACAAGTTGATGTGCCGCAGAGCAAGGAAAAAGCAGCGAACCACTCGTACCATCACTTCCGAAACTGTATCGGGTCTTTCGGATGCACCAGAAGCGCCGTATGTTCTACCAGCTACAGCTTGTGTGCATCAAATAACACGATCCATGCTGGACAATCCATCCAGTCAGCGCACACGCCCTAGGGTGGTGGCTACTTCGACTTTTCTCGCTGGGTATGACCCCATTACCTCCCAGCCACCGCCTCGGGCTTCAGCATCAAAGCATCACGCCTAACCCAAGTGCGCCATTGCTAATGAAAGGATGTAATTCACTTGCACCAAGTTATTCAAGTGATATAGGCGGCTACAACGTGCCCAGTACCCAGCTGTTTAATCCGCCGCAAGGTCTGTACCCTGTATCTACTTGTTTTTAGATACCGAATGCAACATGCATGCTGCAACCGCACCACTACACCTATTTAAATGGCGGACTTGAGGTTGCGCAAAGTCATCAGGATACCCAGCTATCAGGCGTGCAGTGGCCGGCTCGAGATAATAACGAGAAGAACACGCCACTTGAGATATCTGACGATGCTCCTGGTGTATGATTTGGGATACTGACAAGGAGACAAGGTAGGCCACCTCTTACAGCGCGTGCTCTCAAAATGGACGCACTACTCAATTAAATGCATATTTCATCTGTCCGAGTAGGGTTTAAGCTCTTCAGTAAGCTGATGGATGCCTTGAGATGGAGCAAAGCCTAAAAGAGGCTCTCTATTATCGTTGATATATCTTAAGTGGTTCCGGAACTACTACAGGTTTCTACCTCAACCAATCGAGCTACCTCGTATTCTCGATCGCGATTGGTTAATGGCTTCTTCAGCGGACCGGTCTGCATAACTTTGCTATTCATACTAAATTTTTAATTAATTATTAGCCGACTCACGCTTCATATCGTTGAAAGAGCGTGCTTGG